TGACGTCTCTGATCCACTGGTGAAAGGACACTTTGATCCTCTCCTCTTTCATCTATAACTGCTTCAGACAACAAAGTGTATGCAGAAAAGTGGTGAAGATTGCACGACTGTCTTGTGTCCTATGTGTTGTGTTGTGTTATTTTTGTTATTATGACTTCAAAATGGCGCCGCGAGAGTGGCTGCCTTTCCAGCAGCTCCTATATTTTGTTGTTCTACTTCTTCCTTTCATAACTTTGCTGCTGTGAATTGGGAATTTCTCCATTGCGAGACTAATAAAGGTTTTCTTTTCTTAAAGCCCTAACCCTGGCTGAAGGCCCTACTCCGTCTTGAAATACCAACCCTGGTTTTAAACTCTAATGTCAAACATAGGCCCTATGTTTCAAACCCTGATGCTTGAAATCAGAATTTTAAACCCATGTTTGGTACATAGAAAATGTACATTCTAATCAAGGCTTGACATCTTAATATCAAAACTATCTTGAATCCCCAACCCCATTTTGAAATCCTAACCCCGAGTTGAAACCCAAACACATACTTGACACACTAACACTAACACTGGCAAATACTAAGCGCAACCCTGGTTTAAAGCCTGATTTCAAATCCCGACCCAAGACATGAAACAAAAATTTCAAGTCATAGCCCAGGCTGAAAACCCCTCCTTTGAAAACCCAACACTGGCAAACGTCGTCATGTTTGTTTTGTAATTACTGTACGTCCTCTCCGATTACATTCGTTTCTTTTTCAATGTCCAGTAATTGTACTCGGTGTACGTCACATTACAGATGATGGTGGTCTGTTTTTTTTTATATTTTTTTCTGTTTAGTTGCGACTTTTTTGGTTTCCGCCAACGCATCACGACCAATGACGTCACCCACGGAGTTGCGTTGCTGACGTAACGTAGAGCGAGTGGTAGCCTGAGCGCGGGCTAGCTCAAGCGGACGGCGCACGGGGCTTTAATTAACACACTCGGCGGCGAACTTGCACGTGTTTACCTTTTAAACTTTCCGTTTAACGTGCTAAATGTACCTTTTAACAGCGCGTATGAGCCGTGAAATAAACCGAAACTAACTTCGCGCTGTGTGTCGCCTCCATTTTATTAGCACGTCAAACGTGAGCTAACAAGCTAAAATCGACAGCTAATTCGCCATCCAGTGACACAACACATCACAACACACCCGGGCCCTCCTCCTCCCCCTCATCCCCGCACTCACCAGTTGGTCATGTCCAGGAAGAAAGCGCAGCCGGCAGGGTTGAGCTGGAAGCCCAGCAGCCTCTGGAACTCCGTGATGAGGACGTCCTTGTCCGTGGTGCCCATGCAGCTAAACTTCTGCATGAGCTCCGCGTCCACGTCCATGTCCGTGCCCTCCATGAGGGTGGCGGGGGAGGAGGGCGGGGTAAGGGGTGGGGGGAAGCCTCTCTCAGTCAGGTCCGAGGCCTCGTCTAGCCATAACAAGCTGCTCCACCGCCACAACAACAAGCGTCAATGCGCATGGCACGACAAGGGGGACGAAGTTTGACGTTGCAACAGCCGAGCGCGTCACCCGCGCCAATCACGTCTAGCTGATGACGTCATCTGTTGCTATTTGCAGCGCTCCTGCGATTGGCTCATCGCTCGAGTTCACAAATTGCTCTATTTTGCCGCGGAACCCCTGACACGTGAAAACAGATTCATGTGGTACAGGCTCACATGGAAGCGATACAGCGATCTGTCATCACCATATGTCATTTGTTTGTTGTGTAGTAGTTAATGAGCAGTGCGTGGGCCTTTCTCCAGCGACCACGCCTAATTTCCATAAATTAGGATATCTGTTCAGAGCTATCTCCATAAGGCATAGCCATTTAATAGTGTTTATTTCCATTTTTTACAATTTCGAAAATTGTTTTTGAAATGGAATAAAATTCCGCCTACTTGTGCATTTTTATTGTGGAACTATCATGTATTTATTTTCAAATAAAATCTAATTTATCCGAATCTAAGTAGTAGGTCGGAAGCCACCGATTTTTCGCCGGAACATAATGTGGACACGACACATTTCTGGTCGGAACCTTTATTGCGAACTCCTGAGTGGCGCTTTTTGGACGCCGTCTCATTTGAAACATGCCGAAGTGAGTGATTTCTTATATTCTTTGTTTTGTGTGTTCCCAAGCGTTCAACCATTAAAACAGACGTTCATATCTATTACAATTTGAGGGTAAGGTAAGAACACGACAAAATTAATCGACCGATGTACTTTTGAGGCAGCTCAAGCATTGTTCCGGCTCCGTCTATTTTCTGGAACGAAATTCGCTGCGAAGGCATTGTTTTGGCAATTTTGTCACTTCTGATATTATTGCTAAATAATTCTTCATTTTCCCGAAATACATTGTTAGTAGCATTACATTTCGTGCGTATAGTGGGTGTAGTTGTAGTATAGTTGGCTCCGTAGTTTCGGGAACACACGCTGTGCGTACGATTTGGAGCGAAAATCGAACCCGATATATGCCTGTCGAACATGTTATGTTTATCATTAATATTTATATTGTTTTTACTTGAACCAAGTTTTTTTCGTATACCTTTCAGCTAAGGCATGAAAACTGAAATGGTGGAATCAAGACAAAATGATGCAGCCTCTGGAGCTCCGTGAGGAGGACGTCCTTGTCCGTGGTGCCCATGCAGCTAAACTTCTGCATGAGCTCCGCGTCCACGTCCATGTCCGTGCCCTCCATGAGGGTGGCGGGGGAGGAGGGCGGGGTAAGGGGTGGGGGGAAGCCTCTCTCAGTCAGGTCCGAGGCCTCGTCTAGCCATAACAAGCTGCTCCACCGCCACAACAACAAGCGTCAATGCGCATGGCACGACAAGGGGGACGAAGTTTGACGTTGCAACAGCCGAGCGCGTCACCCGCGCCAATCACGTCTAGCTGATGACGTCATCTGTCGGGGGAGGAGGGCGGGGTAAGGGGTGGGGGGAAGCCTCTCTCAGTCAGGTCCGAGGCCTCGTCTAGCCATAACAAGCTGCTCCACCGCCACAACAACAAGCGTCAATGCGCATGGCACGACAAGGGGGACGAAGTTTGACGTTGCAACAGCCGAGCGCGTCACCCGCGCCAATCACGTCTAGCTGATGACGTCATCTGTTGCTATTTGCAGCGCTCCTGCGATTGGCTCATCGCTCGAGTTCACAAATTGCTCTATTTTGCCGCGGAACCCCTGACACGTGAAAACAGATTCATGTGGTACAGGCTCACATGGAAGCGATACAGCGATCTGTCATCACCATATGTCATTTGTTTGTTGTGTAGTAGTTAATGAGCAGTGCGTGGGCCTTTCTCCAGCGACCACGCCTAATTTCCATAAATTAGGATATCTGTTCAGAGCTATCTCCATAAGGCATAGCCATTTAATAGTGTTTATTTCCATTTTTTACAATTTCGAAAATTGTTTTTGAAATGGAATAAAATTCCGCCTACTTGTGCATTTTTATTGTGGAACTATCATGTATTTATTTTCAAATAAAATCTAATTTATCCGAATCTAAGTAGTAGGTCGGAAGCCACCGATTTTTCGCCGGAACATAATGTGGACACGACACATTTCTGGTCGGAACCTTTATTGCGAACTCCTGAGTGGCGCTTTTTGGACGCCGTCTCATTTGAAACATGCCGAAGTGAGTGATTTCTTATATTCTTTGTTTTGTGTGTTCCCAAGCGTTCAACCATTAAAACAGACGTTCATATCTATTACAATTTGAGGGTAAGGTAAGAACACGACAAAATTAATCGACCGATGTACTTTTGAGGCAGCTCAAGCATTGTTCCGGCTCCGTCTATTTTCTGGAACGAAATTCGCTGCGAAGGCATTGTTTTGGCAATTTTGTCACTTCTGATATTATTGCTAAATAATTCTTCATTTTCCCGAAATACATTGTTAGTAGCATTACATTTCGTGCGTATAGTGGGTGTAGTTGTAGTATAGTTGGCTCCGTAGTTTCGGGAACACACGCTGTGCGTACGATTTGGAGCGAAAATCGAACCCGATATATGCCTGTCGAACATGTTATGTTTATCATTAATATTTATATTGTTTTTACTTGAACCAAGTTTTTTTCGTATACCTTTCAGCTAAGGCATGAAAACTGAAATGGTGGAATCAAGACAAAATGATGCTCACTGTGTGTAAATGCTTTTTCATTGTAATATTGTCGCCTAAATGTGAATTTAAAACCAGGATTTGAACAATATAAATAGCCTTTATTATAAAGGCAGCAAACCAGCCAAAATATACACAGATTTGCTGGTTGAAGTGACATAAAAGTGAAATGTATTTCTTTGTGATCTTATTCCACAGGTTTTATTGTGACTACTGTGACACCTACCTCACACACGATTCGGTAAGCACAGCAGCACGATTTTCCAATAAAAAAAAATAAGACCCGTGCGTTTGTTGAATCCATATTCTCTGCTTTGATTCATCAGCCATCGGTGAGGAAGACCCACTGCAGTGGTCGAAAACACAAAGAAAATGTAAAGGACTACTACCAGAAATGGATGGAGGAGCAGGCCCAGAGCCTCATTGATAAAACCAGTAAGCAGATTAGAGTTTAAAGATTGTGTTGTGTCAGAAAGGCATTTGTAATATATACACGAGGAGGTGTTGTATCTAAATTTCACCCCCCTTTTTTTTCCCCCAACAGCGGCTGCTTTTCAACAAGGAAAAATTCCTCCCACGCCATTTGCAGGTGCCCCCCCTCCTGGTAAGTCAGCATGGAATGAACCTTGTAACATGTCACATTTGGTTTGTTCAAACATAGCAACTGTGTGGGGCTTTTTCCTTTTTAACAATGAAGTAGAGACTTTGCTCGATGGCTGTGGTAGCCAGTTGAGCAGCAGAATGTAACAAATTGGTTGTTGGTGTTGGATGTTTTTAGCTGTGCCGTGTTGACACAACATAGGGGACTCTCTTTGCCGCCACCACCACCACCGCTGCTGCTGTTTCAATGAAGACACACCACAAATAAGATACAGCATGGCAATATTTAATTGTTCCTCAGATTAGGTTGTTTGTTCATTTGTTTTAGGATCTGAACAGAATGCTAAAAAAAAAAAAAAAAAAAAAAAAAACATCTGTACACAAGCTGCTATGGCCACCTGGTAGTGGTAAGATCGGGCCTAAAAAATCCAGCCCGACCCGACCCGCGGGTATTAAAGCCTGACTCGGCCCGAGCCCGACCAATTAACTTGATTTGCAAGCCCGAGCCCGAAGCAAACCCAAAATTTCATATTTTATTTGTGAGGACTCGGGAGGAGGAGGGGTGATTTATGATAACAAATTAAAGCCTGTCTTTTGTAACAAAATCTAAGTTAAACAAGACTGTATAAACATTTACATCTTTTATATTTCTGTTTCTGTAGAGGGTACGTTAACCGACAATTTTCCATCATTGACAGATATTTTTTTAAGAGTTGACGGGGAAAATTTAAGGCCGACTTTGTCATTTTGACGGGTTGAAAATTGGGCCATTAACCACAGCAGCAGTACGTGCTTAAGAATCTAGCGCAGCACTAGAGACAAAGGAGAACAATGACGGGTGGATAATAGACAGAGACAGGAAGGAGTTCTTTGAATTGTCATTGCAAGAGTTTATTACAGTACGTGTTGTGATGAGGCGACTTCTGTTTTTTTGGGAACCATGGTCTCTCGTGGCCAAAACTATTCACAGCCTCGAAACGCCTCAGCGCACTAAACATATATTTATTTTAAAAAAAGTCAGCGAGACCCGAACCCAAAGCAATGATTGACATTTTAGGCCCGACCCGAATCGGGCTCACGCCGCCCGATCTTACCTCTACCACCTGGTGCCCAGGCATTCAATGCACTGGTTAACAGCCAAATACACACACACACACACACACACACACACACACACACACACACACTTTGACTCACGTGTTACTCACCAGACCAGTCCAGACCTTTTAAAGCCATACCCATTCAAAGTCAAAGATCTTGCAGTGTGTAGGACGTGAGTGAGGATGGCAACACAAGAAGCAAGTGTAATTAAAATATCTGGGTTTGGCATAGGTGGTCCTCCACGTCCAGGCATGCTGCCCACGCCGCCCATGGCTGGGCCTCCCATGATGCCAATGATGGGACCTCCACCTCACGGAATGATGCCTGGCGGGCCTGGTACAACCTTTACAGCTTTGTTTAAAGTAAAGGGGTGTTTCAATTTTAAGGTGTAACTTACACTTCCCAACTTGTCCATGAGCAGGAATGCGGCCACCGATGGGAGCGCCCATGCAGATGATGCCGGGCCCACCTCACATGATGCGTCACCCTCGACCCATGATGATGCCGGTCCGGCCCGGCATGATGAGACCGGACAGATAATACTGGCATCACTGATATTTGCTGCTGATGTTAAGTGTTTTTGCCACAAGGAGGGACTGCACACTTATGACACCAGTCTGTTTGATTCGCTTCAAAGTTTCAACCAACCACAGGTTTCACTTATTGTCAGTCAATGTATTTATTCCTACTTAATTCCAGACCCTCAACTTCGATAGATGTCATTCTCGTGTTTTTAGTGTTCTGGCACCCCTGCCCAAACATGGAGTTTTATTTTGACCATTTTATTGCAAAAAGAAACATTTGGGTTTTTTTTCTATTTCTGTTTTGAGAAATAAAGCAGTCATTTAAAAGCCATGTCTTGCCCTTCTCCTTTTCATCTTCAAAATAAATATATCTAAACATACTGTACTTTAACAAAGAATTGTTAGAAATTTGTTGCAGTTTGTGGCAGTGATGTACAGTGCCATGATCGATAGAGTGGTATTAAACTCAACTGTTTTGCCATGGGCCACGCTGGAGTCTTGCGACTGAAAGCATAGAATTGATTAATTGCGTCATAGTATCGCATATGCACAACAAATTGATGGATAAGTACTTTTGAAATTGGTGAGTGAAAATAGTTTGTTAAATTTAATTAAACGGGTTTGCGAACAAAATAGACTTTCAATCCCTCGCTATTGTTAAAAAGTACAATTTTCGTTTTGATCAAGAAACTTGACCGAAGATGTACTTTTCAAGCAGCCAATCTCCCCCGACCCCTTACCGCACGTGCGCGTATACGTGCACGAAACAGAAAAATAACTAGATACAAGAGTTTGTGAAAAGGAAATCACTGCCTATCTTAGAGACCTGACACGGAGGCATGGGACGCACTTTGGCAGTGTCTTCAGTGCAACAACGTCACTATCACGTGTACCATTTTGAAATGTTTCTCCTAGCGCTCCAGATTTCCATTATTTGCCAGTGCCACTGGCGGATTGCAGATGAAACCAACTTTGAGTGAGAGTAACAATAAAAAAAGAAGATATATCACAGCAGTTCTGATCGCAAGCTGCAATTGTAGACTGCTGACCGCTAAAAACTTCCAGTGGTACAGGTCACGCGTCACCGTCGGTGAAACGTGACATGCTATTTTTATTTTTTCAAGGCTTTTTTTTTTTTTCCAAGCGAAACTGATAGGATGCTTAAGGCACAGTGTACACCAACACCAAAATATAAAATATGAATAACACTCACACAGTTACACAAATCTATTTTCCCCCTATTCACGCCTTGCGATCGACTTGGAACCAGTCCGCGGGCTACCGGTCGATCGCGACATTAAATGATGTGGCTAGTCACTTTTGACCCCATGTCTTAGTGTTTGACACTTATAGGATATTATAGAGCTCTCATCATTCTGTGTCACAGTGAGAGAAATTAATACACACTGTTAAATACTCAATCAAAACTGACGATTCGAAGCATTGTTGGAAAGGCAGCATTTATGACACGTGCACACAGGATATAATCCTATTCTTTATTCTACCAAGTGTACTCTGGCAAAATATAAAACTCTCCGAACATCTGAGCAGAATGTAAACACTTGTCACGTTGGTATTTGATGCATTAAAATTGTACTCATCTTGTATTCGGTACTATACCGTACAATCAATTAGTAATGATATGTACCGACAGAGGGCACCAGAGAGTCATAATGGCCTGACTCAATTACACGTGACCACTTGAACCTCTGTAACGCAATAGTGAAGTCAAGATTACAGTAAACATTTTAATGAGGAACACTTAAAGGCCAAGAATATAATAATCCCATGAAAACGCGAGGAGGAGTGCACTTTTGTGCACCGAGGACCCCCTGCACAACATCTGTCACTGTACTTTTGGCAGTGGCGGGCTGTGCATTTCAACCTTAGGCCTTCAGTGACGTCACATACATGAACACAATACTGTATAGGCTCGTCAAGCAGCACTTAATTTCAGGAGCATTTAAAACCATCAAGTATGCATTCACAATTAAGAGCAGGAAACTAAATTTACAGATAGTCAAAAATAAAAAGATGATTTAAAAATACGAAATAAAATGACACCCAAATTACGCTGTGTGATCTGAAACAAGTCTGTCCAATAAATTGCGCAATGTCGCAGTTTCATATAAGACACCAACCAAACAAAAACAAAACAAACTATTCTTTGAAAATAAACAGATCATTTGCATTTTGAAAATCGGCGATACAACAGCAAATAACTGAAAATGTTGAGCAGCTGAGATTGAAGGAACTTTCGTACACGAAGGTGACTACAATGCGCCATTATAAATTGCAGGTGAGCAGATTTATTTGATACATTTTTGTATCTTTGTCATTTTATTTCATTACCATGAATTTAATAAAATATAAGAAATAAAATGACAAGAAGAAATGTAAAATAAAATTCATT